AATAAGTTTCGTGCAAATTGTTACTAAACCCAGTGAAGTTATAAAAAAGGTAAACAATAAATTAACAGATACACGTATAGTAGTTTTTAAAAGATATTTTATGTGTAAATAAAATGAAATCTTAGTTGTAAAGAAACTGACATAGTGTATATAAATAATAGAGGATATAGAGCTAAACATTCTCAATAACATTGGAAATAGTCCAAAAAAAGTGGATGTAAATTACAAGAAGGGAAAACACTTCCAAAACGGCCTAGCATCCTTGACGATGTTCCGGCCTGAGATACTATATGAACGACATGAACTAGTTTTAAGTCAACAAATTTTAAGCGTAACTTTACGTAAAAACTTACGAAATTATGTCTTCCACCATCACAACCATCATTTTACAGCGTAGAAATCAACATTATACTTCTGCTCATCATCAACATAATCATCAGCATCAAAATCAACAGATTTCTGCTTAACATCACCATCATCAACATAAAAATCATCACAATCTAAATATTAATTTTCATCATAACTATCATCGAAATAATCATCACCATTGCAATCAAAATATGTCTGCTCATCATCCTCATCTTCAACATAATTATTAAAATTTTTAAGACATATACATCACTAATTCCCATCATCGTCATCATCATTATCATCATCATAACTTCATCATTATCATTATCATTAAAATCGACATCATTTGCTTATATCATCATCTTCATATTTATTGCAATTAACATACTTCACTTATTTATCACATATCTCATAATTACGATCAACCAAGGGAGAGCTATTGTCCTTCAAAATATATTCTTTAGACAAGCATTTTTACCCCTCCTCAAGATTAAGTACTTCATGTACATTCTATGAAAGGTTCTCTTACCGACAAATACCCTGACCAGAAAAAGTAATCTCATTCTCTTCCCCGTACAAACCAATTAACAAGAAGCCCTTTTACATTCTAAGGAGGACACTTTGTGAACCAATCAATTATTATAATCATAACAAATGTTGTAATACGAAAACATGCTAATGTTTCTAAGCTGACCTAAAATATAACTTGCTTGATTCTTTGAAATACTTTCATTCAGAAAAGACCTTCACATCATTGAATGCTTGGTTAGGAAATAGCATATGGCTTACCAGTCCGGCAATTACCGAGAAAGGGATGGCACATTTATATTTTTTTTTTTGATTATTTTGGGAGTAATTTTGCAAGGTGAAAGAAAACCTACGGCCAGGTATAGCACAATAAAAACAAGTGAAGTTTCACTCAAGCGTGAAATGTCTTAGAATGAAAGAAAAAGCGTTTCATTACGTCAGGTAATACTCGTTCCACAAAGTGGCGGATGGGTACGCTTAAACACGAATGACACAAAATCATCCACCATACTAATGTGTACAGGCGGTTGCAAATTAAACCATATGATTTTATTCATTTTTTTTAATTAATGATTTGCTTAGATATAATATAAATAAGTTTATTTTGTTGCATTATTTTCAATCGGAAAAGAAAAGCAATATAGAACTTAAAACATTACTTTGAGGCGCTTTGTGAGCTTTTTGAGATATCGCAAGATTTACAAGTGTTGCGGTGGGCAAAAGTCATTTTACTATTGAAATGCAGAATAAGTAGATTGCTATAAATTATATAAATATACTTTCGAAACCTTCAGTGGCATAAGTAATACTAGGTTTTTCATAATTCGTTTTATACAAACGATTTTTTTTAGTGAAGTAAAGCGCTGTGGCAAGTGTTTTTTAAAATAATTTTTGTTAGATCTTGTTTTCGATCAAATGCCTTTAAAGCCTTCTCAAGCCAGCATTAAAAAGATAAACCTGAGTAACAACAGAAGAAGATATATTTTAAATATATTTATATTTATGAGGATGTATGTGTGTGCGCGTGTGTGTGGTGTAGCGTGTGTGTGCGCATGTTAAATGTACTTGTTTTCATTCAGGACTTGTAATTTCACAGTTAAGCATGCGTTACATTCAAAAGCACACAATAAAGCTATTTATCAACTTAGAAAAGAGTTCACCACTATCAAATACATTATGAAGAAAATTTTAGTTGTATAATACAAACATAGTTTAAAAACCGACCTACAATATCATCTTTCAGGTACAATCTCACCAGTATGCACACGTATTTTCATAAATGACCTTTAATATCATCTTTCAGGTACAAACTTACCATTTGGAGACGTAAACAACTCGTTATACCATATGGGTATTTATTAACCTTGAAACTTGTTGACATGTACCAATGTTCGGTGCGTGGTTTGTTAAGCTATTGAGATATAATATATTGTTACATTGTATATACTTGCTGTATATTGTTTTGTTCAGCTTTTACAAAAATAGAGGAGATTAAAGATACTATCGATCTGCGAGGGAGGGGGTGGCTGCTGACTGGCATGCGTTTTAATTTACTGGCCCACTGACACTTTTATAAAAAAGGAACACATATTGTTAGCTACATTATCACAGCTTATTTACTATGATTACATTAACATTCATACACATGCATTTAAAAGTGAAATTCAAAATCGGCGCGTCTAACATGAATTGATCATTCAACATTTTAATAATTCGTAATCGCAATGCAAAGGTCATTTGTTAAAGGTATTAAGTGCTTGAAGTAATTATTTGTTCAATAGGATTGTTGTATTTACACAGTTATTTTCGTAATTTAATATTAAAGTCATGTAAACCGGTTGTTTAATAAAATAACTTCAGTCACGAAAGGTTGAGTGCTGTGCCATTCTTGATCAATGTACAAAATGAAGTTAAGTAAATTCTTGTACTGATAAACACTTACAATTACCCACAGTATAGTGTAAGCGTCTTTGTTTTTAAAAAAAAGTCAAACTGATATTAACATTATATTGTGGCTGTATTTCTGAACAAACCTGATGCCTGACGAAGCTTAACACGTTTTTAGTAAGTGATACCTAAGGAACATAATTATAATAATATTGTAGTTTAAAGAAAATTCCTAAATAAATAAAGACGCTGCTGTAACTATTTTCAAGGAAAGGTCTAAATTTAAAGGGAATATATTGAATATGGATGTGATTTCCTGATGAGAAGGAAGAACAATGACATGACGATATTAAACTTCACCAAAACATCTAAGGCATTCAGAATGTATCGGGAACATTATATATTTATAATTTCGCGATCATTCACTTAAATGTAGCTGATTCAGTTCATAAAATTTTATAAAACGGTAAAATGTTAATGGTAATAGTATAGTGTAATATATCCGATGATATACGAAATTCCCTTTATATCTTTAAATATCTTTAAATTTCTTTTTATAAGATGACTACCAATGTTCATATTGCAATATACTATGTATAATTATGGTCACCTCTTTGTATTTTTCATTGCTATGTCATGTTTGTTGTATTATGTTTTTTTTGGCCGGAGGTATGTTACAAGAAGTATGTTACAAGAAATATTTTTTTCTTTTTCCTTTTTTTACATTCCAATCATCATTATCATAATAAATACTTTATCATCATCAACAATATATTAAGCATACATGCACATGATCATATCATTCTGATCATCACAAACCATCAGTACCAATACATAAATATCATCATTATCACCTGAACATAATCATCATCCTTATCACCAATAATTCATCATCATCATCATCATCATTATCATCATCGGAAGCATCAGCAGCAGCAGCAGCAGCAGCACAGTAGCAGCATCAGTAGCAGCATAAGCAGCAGCATAAGCAGCAGCATTATCACTTGATATTTAAAATGCAATAAAAATGACATCAGACTGTATGTAATACAACAATGGCAGTTATAACAATAAGGTGATAAAAATAAGATTTTTTTGATGAATGTGATGATAATATAAACGATTTGATGACGGCAAAAATTATGATGAAAACGATGAGATACTTGAGTATTATGATTTTAATGATGATGGATTTGATAAATATTTCATGACAATGATTATGTTGGTAATGAGGATTACAATTATGACGATGATATGATTTAAATAATGATGAATTGAACGATTATGATGATGATTATCATACGTCATGATTTTTTGATGTTTGCTTCAAATTTTATGATGAAACTGGCAAAAAGCATGCTTTTAGTAAGACAATGATAGTTAAGACGATGATAAACATGATGATTAGTTTACTAATAATGATTTTGATGTAGTTGAGGTTGATGCATTTTTGAATTCGATAATGAGTTTACTAATGACAATGATGAAGATGACACCAGGTGATATTTACTTGGTGATGAATATTTTGAGCCAACTTCATGACGGGAAGCATTATTCGTCTAAGCGAGACATTATTTTTGAAGTCAGTGTATTTCATTGATAAATACAGCTTCATTTTTTATTGTTTGTTTGATTTATTTGTTTATAATAGTTTCAAATAATACTTCTTAAAAGTACATATATTATTGGCCTTGCATGTATCATTTAAAGCATTAACTTATATGAATTATTGAAGCATTCATGTATATTAGACCAGAGCAAGTCAAAAACTTAAATGACGGTTATATTTATTTTATATTTAGATATACTATTTTCTATAATTTGATGTTGTCGCTAGAGCTTCAATATCAGATAAGCATTGATTTATGCGGAAATAATGCATAAAAATTTGACCTCAGATAAACAATATTATTTCTTTTTATTAGATCATATAATTCGACAGAAAACGATACGAAAAATTAAATAGATATGCGACCTACAGAGGGTTTCATATAAATATATCTTTGGTTTTATGTAATTGTAGATTTATTGTCTTAATTATACCCAAACTATTAATTAAAACAATCATGTTCTGCAAAACAAGGTTTTTTTTTCAGCCTACTATATTTCCCAGATTAAAGTTTAACTGAGCAAATAAAAAAGAAAACTTAACATTTACATGATTAATACATTTAAACAATTAATGTATATTTGTTAAAATTTTAGATATGTTCAACAATTACATGTGACGGACAGGAAGCTTAAGACGTTATATCAAGTTTCTCACAGGAAGATTTTTAATCACATTCTTGTATACAGTCAAACTTGTTTATAAAGGAATAACTAAAAGATAGTCTTTATGTACGAGTGGTCTTTATTCGAAGTTTTCACTGTTGTATTTATTTCAATGAAATTTTCTAAGAAAATGTTTTTGTTTTTCGTTGCGATGTGGTCTTCATGCGGAGGCCATCTTTGTCACTGGTTTGACTGTATTAACAAAATAGATGGACTTATAATCATCCGTATGCATACATTCTTTGAATATTTTAACAAGCCAAACAGAAACATGATATTGGTTAAACATACGTTTTTTATTCATACATCAATTTATAGACTATTTTTGTATTGTATTGCCTTAAAGTATGACGTGTTGAATTTTAATTGGCTCACAAGCAAGCGTTTTGAAGCGAAAATAAAATAGCGTGTAAACTGATGATTTAAACTATTTAGATTTAAGCACAAGAGGCAATATATTGTGGACAAATTTGTTATAAGTTTTTTTTGTAATCAAATATGCTACTGTGTTTACATATAAACATTTGAATAGAAAACATTTAAAAGATGAACTTTGTGCTCAATTTCTAGAACACTTGATTCAAACACATAGATGGATTAAAGAAGACACTTAACCGTAAGTTGTTATATTTTGTAATACGTCTATCATTCATGTTTCTGTATCAATTTACTTATGTAGTATTTCTATTGTCACCATTTTTAAGAAGACATTATATTTTTCATGGAATGAAATATGTTTTTTATAAGGTCTCTTTGCAGTGGATACTCGATGTCGACTTTTATGTTGAAACACACGTTTTCGACTTCGTGCAAATGTACTGAAGCAAGCGTTTACGTGAAAGATGAATTATATCCATAACTATTTAATGACTTCAAATCAATCATGCGTTAACACTATTTCGATTCAAATCTAGCGATGAAATTTAATAATGTAAATATATTTTATCATGAGCAGTTATTGTAATTGCAAGCTACGAATCACACCCCATCCTTCCACCGACGTAAACAGCACTCAACATTTAAGTATGATAAATTTTAGCTTCAACGAAAAAGTATTGAGCAAAACTAAACAAAATTCATTGTTTTATAGGGATTAAAGGTTCTAAAGCCTTCATGTCACATATCATCCACCAAAAGACAGAATTAAAAAAAACATCAAAAAAGACATCCTAAGAATTGTCAGGCAATATCAAAGGAGGATTACACACAATTATAAAAAAACACTAAACTACGACTAAAAAAAAGCGTTGTTCTTGACGATCAAATCACACTTTTATAAATTAAATCAATTCAAATTAAACTTTGATTGAATTTAAGGGTCGACCGCTTACCGCAATGGATTCGAATCTCAACTATTTCATGGAGGAAGCTATCCACGTTGTTTTACTGAACGTCGGTGGTTTTTACTCAGGCGTCCAAGCGTCCGTGAAATAATTCAATGGAGGGCACATGATGTCTTCCTCCACCAGACAAGCTGAATTGTCGCCTATATTATGTTGATGTGACGTTTAACCAAATAGGAACAAAGAATATTGATTTGACGATATAATAGATGATAAACAGAATCCCTAAAGAAAGCCTTAAGCGGAAAAAATTAGCATATGGCTGTGTATTAGTTATACCTGTATTTTCACAAACGGTACTAGTGATTACAATCTACAATTATACCCTCAAGACACTGGAGTAAGCAGAATTCAACATTTAAGTATAAACTGGATATATTTTTTAAATAAGAAACATATTTTTTTTTCATTTTTTGATGTTCATATGTGTTTGTAACTTTGTAAAGTCAAAGCAGATCCTTTTTTCCTAGCGTATATAAAAGCATTGCACTGATTGTCTGATTGTGATGTTATGGATACATAGGGTGTTATGGTATGCAATTGCAATAATCCAACAACCTTCTGACAGGCCACAAGAAGTCCATGGGAAGTGATGCATTTAGGAGGAAGCAAATAAAGTAAAATAGAGAGAACGCGCAAAACGACAAATTTGAAAATGTTGCAGGCTCGATTTAATTGAGACTGTTCATGGACGGTATTGGAAAGAGCAAGCTTTTTTATTTACCATCCACGCACCCTTGCACCGACTTAAGCCTGCGTTACATTACACTCCGATTAGGTTTACGATGGAGAATCGATGCCTGAACGGGCTGAAATTGACAATTTCAAAGGTCTCCGCCCGGGGACACTCCGGTGTAAAGTGAACGGTTGGGCACCATACGGGTAATCGGAGAATTTGGTGCAGAGTTATTTTCTTCCGGCATCCGGTACTTCGCCAGCGCAACGTAGCAGACACGGTAAAATACACTCCGATTTACGGCCCCACACCTTTTGCTATCGGTTACATACCGGTTAGAATCTTTACCTCCTGGGCACCAAATATTCCTCCAGTTTCCAAGCGGTATCTGAGCGGTCGCCGAAGACGGCTCGGCAGGTTAATGACTGGGACCCGGATGAACTCATTTCGTCGCACGTATGGTCCTTAAATGTCCGTAAGGATAGCGTTGGGGTTATTAAACAGACCTTACGGCAGGTAAAGCCTTTGACCCATGTTCAATACTCGGACGACGGTGAAGGTCACTTTCGTTGTACAGATGTTATCAGTACCTTGCGAAAGTGAAAGCGATTATTACTGTTTAACTGCTTGACAGACTGTCCAGGAATGATGCGGTGGCTGAACTGTGCTCTGGTATGTATATTCAAGTTGGTTTGCTGCCAAAGTGCTCAGGGTAAATCATAAATAACACCATCATTCTCTCATTAGCAAGATTGCAGAGCTGAATTGGTTAAATCGCTAGACTTGTAATCTGTACATTGTTGGTTCGATTCCCGGGATGACAAACTGAAATTACTAGGAATCTTTCGAACAAGAATTTAAAGCGAATTCCCCTGCATGTGTGCTTAAACGCTAAAACAATTGGATAGGGAAAAAAGAAGGAGAAGATTGTTTGGGGTCCTGCTTGGTTCTTTGACGTTGGTTATCTTGTGTTGCTAGATAGTGTCGTGCTTGCGTTCATTTAACGCCGCCTTCGTTATTGAGTTTGTTTTTCATATTTTCTGAAATAAGGGCATCTTGCTATCTGTATCTTGCGCTGTCTTCCAACATCTAGAACGATTAATACTTTTCTATACGGCAACCGAGTGCGAGTATTTAAAAGCTCAATTACACACTCATATTCTCTCAGTTTTCACACACGTCCATGGAGGCTTATGAAAGTTTTTTCAAGTTTCAATTACAATATTTTATGGAAAACTTTGATTTCAGAGTGTAATAAACCTTCCAAAAAAGAAAGCAAAGGAGGGGTGGGGGAGAAATCAGAGGAGAAGAATTGAAGGCAAAGAAAAATGCCAACAAAAGAGGGGATGTGAATAACGGCCGGAAAATGGGATAGCATGCCATACGAATACTGTCCGACAGCCGATCAGATATGGCACGTATACTTAACCGTCACAGAACTGCAAACAGGTCTGATAACGGAAGGCAATTGGACTTTTATCGTACGTTTGTCTGCCGGGTACCTTTAGAATATCGACCGGTGTCCAGAAAGAAGACGCCAAGGTTTTTCACCGCGTGACCGGGCGAGTATCCTTTGGAAACCATCAAATTACCTAACTGACCACAGAGGGAGAATGTCCACCCACTTTTTTCCGGACATGATTGAAATGTTTCTCTCCGATGTTGTCCCATCGATCCCTCTATATCGGCCGTTCCCCGCTTGTAATGTGACGTAGGCATTAAGCAGTAGTCAACATTTAATGATTCGTAAAAACGAATAAATATTTCGTAAAAACGAACTTATATTTCGTAAAAACGAACTTATATTTCGTAAAAACGAATTGATATTTCGTAAAAACGAATTGATATTTCGTAATTACGAATAAATATTTCATAAAAACGAATTAATATTTCGTAAATTTATAACGAATTATTATTTCGTAAAAACTAATTAATATTTCGTAAAAACAAATTGTTTTCCTTTATAAATATTTACGTGAATTCCTTTAAAGTTTTATTATTATTTCAATATCTTATTAACGGCAATTGTCGTCTCTGGTATTTACTGTTTAAATACCAATGTTAGTATTGTCTATAAATTATTCGAGATGGCAAGGTTAACGTCTTTTCTGTCATACAAAGTAAAGAAAAAGAACACGAAAGAGGAACGGGTAAGGTACCTTTCTATGATATCGCATGGCACTTGTCAAACGACTCAACAACCAAACCAAACACAAGTCATGGAAAAATATGGAAAACCTTGACTGTCTTATAATTATAAACCTGAACATTGTAATGTCCAAATAGCAATATACTGAGTCAACCTTTCCTTATACAACGTGCACTCATCAATATATTATGTGGATCCATCTTTATATGTAGTCAACTGAATAAGATATGATGTCAATGTGTCTTTATATGATGTCAATTTATCATTATACGATGTGCATTTTTGAATATATTTTGTGGAACCATCCTTATATAAGGTCAAAATAACAATATATTATGTCAGTCTGTCCTTATATGATGTCAGTCTGTCATTATATGATGTGAAGTTATAAATATACATGTATTATGTGGAATAATAATTATATAGAGTCGAGTTTATATGATGTCTATGTCTCCTTATATTATGTCAATCTACACTGTGCATTTTTCAGTATATTATGTAGAATCGTCTTTATATAGAGTCAACTTAACAATATATGATGTAAATGTGTCCTTATATGATGTAAATATTTCATTATACGATTTGCATTAATGAATATGTTGTGTGGAACAATCTTTATAATATAGAGTCAAAATAACATTATATTATGCAGAACCGTCTTTATATAGAGTCAACGTTACATTATATGATGCCAACACGTCCTTATATGAAACCAGTCTTTCATTGTACGATGTGCATTAATGAATATATTATGTGAAACCATCTTTATATAGAGTCAACTTAACATTATATGATGTGTATGTGGCCTTATATGATGTCAGTCTTTCATTATATGATGTGCAATCACGAATATATTATGTGGAACCATTATTATATAGAGTCAAAACAACACTTTATTATGGAGAATTGTCTTTATATAGAGTCAACTTAAAAATATATGATACAATTTACTTTGAGTTTTCCTGCTGTCGCCACGAACGGTGCATAGTGAGATATATAACCCGTTAAATTAAACCCCATCAGTATAATGACAGAAGCACACGATATAATGATGTTTGCTCTTCATAAAAAGCAGCGGTCGTATAACAATAGATGCACATCGTATAATGAAAGATTGACATAATATATTGATAAGTTGACTGTATATAATGATGCATACACATAATATATTCATAAATGCACATCGTATAATAATAGATGCACATCGTATAATGAAAAATTGACATAATATATTGATAAGTTGACTGTATATAATGATTACACCACATCATATATTCATAAATGCACATCGTATAATGATTGGTCGACATCATATAAAGACACATCGACATCATATATTGTTCAGTTGAATTCATATAAGGATGTATCCACATAATATATTCACGAGTGCACATTGTAAAATAAAGAAAGAGTGACACAACAACGTTCATTTTTACAATCATAAGACA